CCATTTTACACAGTTTAATTTCGTGAATCTCTTTTAAATTGGAAAATCATACATACAATCATAAATATGCATAATTATACAAATATATACAATAAATCATGATAGAGTTTCAAAATTTTCACATTACATTTATAATATAATTTTTGAAATTGATGAGATTATATAAAAAAAAATACGTTAGGAGAAGGGTTTAATATCGCATTATATCATATTTATTAACGGACGGTTTTGAGAGATTCTTTTACATGCATCTATTGAAGTTATACTCGCAAATGACAAACGCATTAAATTTTAACATTTTTATTAATTTTGACCTTTGACCCTTAATTTGTTACACTGACCTACACACAACGCAACTCAACATGGAGAATATTTGTGCAAAGATATAAAAATTCATCGACAAAGTTATACTCGCAAATGAATGTTTAATTTAGTTATTTGAACTTTGACCCTGAGTGTGCCTAGACTTTACACGCACTGAAATTTCGCGCGGACCTTGCTCGCATGGGGAAAATTATACTCGGTTTATTCATCCTGTATGTTGCTACGGCAGGGGTTTAGCGACCAGTGTGGCTGCATTTGGGCAGACGATTGCACAACTTACTATCCCCAAGTTGGCAACTAGTCGGGCTACCGCAAGGTTTATGAAACCTTATATCGAGAGAGGTGTTTATATAATACTTGAAAAATCAATGTTTATGCCGTAAGAGTGTTCTTTTTTACTTAAATATTTGTATTCAGACCAAAACTGCACAAGTTTATTAGCATTAGATGTGACTGTTGTTTCCAATATTGACTGAAATAGGAATAGTTGTTTTCAAGTCTGGATTATGATGATATAATATGAAGTTATTGCCGCAGCCGGAGCAGCCGGAAAATTTCGTCTAGTCCGGTGTTCCGGACTACTCCGTTAGCTAGCAGAGACCATTTTTTTTGTTCCATTATGTGATTTCAAGTTACTTTCCTCGATTTGGCTTTCAGGCCGCCGAATATCGAATGAAGGGTATTAATTTAATCAAGGCCAGATGGCCTAGTATAGGATCCTGCATCGCTATCGTAGCTTACAAAAAGCTTACTTGTTTATGAAGTTGAGTAAAAAATGGGGCCCTTATAAGGGGTTAAAAAGGGGTTTTTTCCATTTTTAAAAGTTGGCCCTTAGGGGCCCGGGGGAAAAAAGGATGTGTTCGTCGGAATACTCGGGTATTTTGTCAACGTTGAGCCGAAATGTACTAAAAGATGGTAATTTTAAAGCTAAATCTGGGCCAATTTCCCGGGGCCGGGCCCCCTTTGCGCCCAGCCCCCAAATTTTTGGGGAAACCCCATCTGGGGGGAAAAGGGTTTTAGGGGGTCTGATCGTGTTTTCCGGGGAAATTTGGGTGTGCCCGGTCAAAAATCCCAATTGGTTTTTTTCCCCAAACCTGAGCCAAAAATTTACAAATAGTTTTTCGTTCGGTTCATATCTGGGCAAATTTGGGCCCGGGCCCCCTGTGAGGCCCACCCTAATTTGCTGTCTTTTACTAGGGAAATTTTTTATGTAAAAAAATTTTTTTGTTTATTTTATTGGGGACAAACCCCCATGTATTAGAATAGCAAAAATTTTTCTTTTATTTTTAAAATTTCATCTTTTTAAATGAAAAAAAATTTTAAATTTAAAATGATTAACCCTATAAAGCTTTGGAAAAGTATTTTCCCAATTTTATTAGTATCATGACTAAAAAGCCCAACCCAAATCGAGTATGGGCCATTTATTATTTTAGCATATGAAACGGTCATGTGAGTCGTTCTTAATATACCTCTATTTTGTACTCTGTGTAATTTAACTTTATATTATTCAAATAGTCCATAAAGCGAAATTTTTAGCAATTCATTTTTGTTATATATTATAAGGCCCTTGGTGACACTTTGCAACATAATTTATACACATTCAAAACATAGACACAAACTCTTTGACGAAATAATATTCATCTTCGACCTTATCACAGGTTGCAAAACTTTTGAATTGTTTTACTTTTACGACCACTTTCAATTTGTACTTTTGATATCTTTCTTCGCAAAAATTCTTTCAAAAAGGAAATATACAAGTCGACCTTTCTTACGACTGCTCACTGATATGTATTAACATCAGTTTATTTTCTTTACATATCATGAAATAAACATGGCCAGCAAAATATTATTTTATTCAACGAATTCAATGAATTCAGTAATGATCTATTGAACGAGTTGAATAAAGTTATTATGCAAGCCTCTGGCGAGAAAAATATTATTTCATTCAACAAGTTCAATAAATTCAGAAATAAACCTACACGAACGACTACATGCATGTAATAGATACCCAAATTAAAGTGAAAAAAAAATCATTGACGTGCCTCTAGTGTAATGCTAACACTTAGCGCGTCTTTACACAATGTTTGTATAAGGTAAATGACGGAATGTCTGAAATATGTGCACGGCCGTGCGATACCGTTTTTATGGAGTCACAAAATTGGAACAGGTATGTGGCGTCAATTTTTCGCATAGATATTTCATGAGAAAAAAAAACAAAGAAGAAGAAAAAACAACAACAAAAAACAACAACAAAAAAAACAGCATATAAAAGTTTATGACACTCCTGGCACTTGTTAATAAAGTTGTATACTCTATGGTAACACTACTCTCCATGTTCCTCTATCGCTCACTTTCTTAAGTGTCTGAAGTAACGTGAGTGTATTCAGTGAGCTGCGAAGGGAGCGTATGGTAACACCTATTAAATCATTTATATGCTAGTTAACACAGTCAAACTTAACACTTAAGTAACGTGAGTGTATTCAGTGAGCTGCGAAGGGAGCGTATGGTAACACCTATTAAATCATTTATATGCTAGTTAACACAGTCAAACTTAACACTTAAGCTTGAATGCGTGGAAGGTAGCTTGCACTAACTAGTATCATCTATTAGCAAGTCCAATCAAATAAAGCATGTGCCATTTACTATTTTAGCATGCATGAACAGCTCTTATGCAAGGGGCAGGACGTGAAGTTATGGAAGGGTATTAACGCAAAAATTACATCTTGCTTTCTTGTGTTACATCGTGTTTTCTAACTTGTACATCTTGCATTCTGAATCTTGCATTCTGACTTGTACATCTTGCATTCTAACTTTACATGTTGCTTTCTTACATGCACATTATGCTTGCTGCTGTGTGCGTCTTGCTTTATTGTATGTTGATATCATTATTTTATTCATTTGTTGATCTTGTATTTCAATAACTTAACCTGCAACTGTTTGTATTTGGGTCTATTTACTCAGCTTGAAAGGTAGAATGACGCATAGCCGAAAGCCGAATGCAGCAAGTATAATACGACGCGACATCTGGTGTAATAATATGTGACACCCAAATTATGCTAACAATTATATTCTCGGTAAAGTCCGTATTGCGGTTCGGATTCAGTTTACCAAGTTACGTCCCTTTGTTTTAAAATTTCCATTTCCACAATGGAGTTAATAAGGTAAACAAATATACAAAACGATTTAACCAATTTTTGTATTTATTACTGAAACTCTGTGGGTCAAATTGTATTTCCAGCTGACAATGACAAGTTGCTAATTTCCAAATCAACGATTTTAGAATTATTTTTTATCAACAAAATAATTATAAAATAGAACAGTTGTTTAAAGTGCTTGGGTCATAAAAAACTTGACAAATGATCAGATGATAAAAAATCAACCACATGACATCAACCGTAACAAATAAGATTATGGCTAAATTGCAAATAAGGGACATAACTATTGTGATGGATATTCGGATACTCGTATATTTTCGGTTATTTCCGTATGGTTCCGTACATGTTTCCGTGTAGTTTGCAACCTGCCTTGTTGTATTTTCCATGTATTATTTATAAATGTATAATCGATTTACATAGGTTTCCTATTTTTGTACACATTAAATGTAGACAGTTTACGATCATTATAATTAAACTGAACTGATTTTAGCATTAAACATATAACTTTAACGTAAACAAATTTGAAGATAGTCAAATAACAAACGATTCATGCAATTTAAAGCAAAATGTGCAAGTCATCATGAAAGATGTGCAAGCCAGAATGCATTGTGTGCATGTCATAATGCAAAATGTAATAGTAAGAGTCCAGTCAGAAAGCACAATGTAACGTAAGAAGGCAAGATGTAATTTTTACGTTAATACCCTTCCATATGAAGTGGTTGCAGACTTGATTACAGCGAGAAAATTGGTTGCAGACTTGACAAAATGGCTAACGAGTCATGAATATTTATAACACTCGCACGTATTTCCTCCAGGAAAGTTGGTTTTTACATTATTTTGAAATTCCTTAATAAGCTCATTCCTTAAAGCAGTGTTTATAGGACATTCGGTTTCCTATCATCTGATATGATGACGTTATTGAAGATTTGACAAGTGACAATCCAGGGCGGATTAAGCTCATTTATTCACATCTGTATTTTTTAAGTTCACCAAATAAGACAACATATGTATTTATCAATACTGTGTAAATATTCCAAATAAAGTTTAAATACACAAACATATCTTGAGAAAGGACTTGCGATTATTGTAAATATTCATGACTTGGTAGTCATTCCGTCAAATTTGCAACCAATTTTCTCGCTTGAACCAGATGTGAAACCACTTTACGCCCTGCCCCTTGTTCATACAGTATTATTTTGTACTGTGTGTCTTTAACTTTATACTTTTAAAAAAGGAATCCATAAAGCAAATGTGTTAGATATACATTTTTATTATATCATATAAGAATATTAAAAACATGATAACATTTTGCAAACATTGTATATACAAAATATCAAAGTGTACAAATTCAATACATACATTATATATTTAAAACAGTTCTCAAATACGTTTCATGTCCGCATATGATGTGTTACATCCTTTTCCGCATATGATGTGTTACATCCTTTTTGAATTCCAATCAAACCTTTCATGATCCTTCACAAAAGCACATTCATTTTAAATGGATGACAAACTCACAAAGACAGTGTAACAAAAATATATATACCATAATCAAAAGCATATAATATTCAAAACCAAAATGCAATCTAGTATCTATAGCATATGGATGTACAGTTTGTCAAGGCTGATGATATGGTTACTATGTATTATTTTCTTCAGATTACAAAATATGTTTACAGCATTTATTAATTTAATCTAACATATTAGATAATGAACAAATGAGGCACGTAAAAATTAGTAATAGAAAGAGCATCGAAACACGAGACTATTTTTTTTTGTACGAGGGGGAGTAGCCCCCCGAGTATTCATCAGATTGCCGAGTGTTTTGATGTTCTTTCTCTTTTGTATCATAGTCAAACATAAAAACCTACTGTCACAATATGAAACCCTAGAAAAAAGTTACTTATGAACGAGCATCTGAATATGGTATTTTTATCGCTTTTCCGTTCTCTGCAATCTTTAGTAAAAATGAGGCAATCAATGGGCATGCTCTGCAGTGCGGGTAACTAATACCTGCACTTCAGTAAACACTCTGTGCATGTATATGTATACGATTTAACTCTGACACATTTTCAACAGAAAGGTCCCCAAACTATGGTACAATACATAACTGATGTATGGTTTTAATAACAAATACGTATCTAACTATGTGATGTATATCTATAATAGCTAATGAAAACAAAATGTTTATAGTCATTCTTCTACATTTTGTCCAACGAGGAAGCCTAAATCTGAAATTTTTTATTTCAATTCCCAATCAACTGTATACAATAGCGTTTATTTAACCATTCATAAACACCTACGAAAAGCATATCAAAGACCACGTCAGGCATTTATAAATAAAATTAAACGTCTTAAACAGCTACAGTCGCTACGATATCCCTCCCTTTTTAGTTTTTTTTTGCTATTTTCTTATTTACATCTTACTATTATATAATTAAATTAAAAAAATATACTTTAAATTTCTGAATGGATTTAAACAATTGCATATTATATTTTCCTTTTCATCTATAAAAACGAAATGCACATTTTTTTTTCGGTATTGAAAAACTGTATCAGTCGATGTAACGCATTTTACATGGCTCGTTGCAAATCATCATTTTGTAAATACAAAAACTCTTTGACGGAATGATATTCATCTTCAACATTATCACTGGTTGCAAAACTTTTTAAAAAAAGTTCAATTCGTTAAGTCGTCACGTGTTGAAAAGAATTTTATATTCGCTGTTGGAGGCTGGCTTTATGACAATCCTTACACTTGATAATAAAGTTGTATACTATGTGGTTTCTCATATTAAATCATTTATATGCTAGTAAACACTCTCTTGAAAAATTTCGAAATTGCTTGCCGAATATCGCGCCTAACTTTTTATGACCACTTCAACACCTTCAGCATACTTTTCACAGCTGTATTTAAAGTGTGGAATACCTGGAAAATAAATAAATTTACAGGCATAACTACCAATACTGAAAATATATAGTCCTTTTAGATAGAACCTTTATTTAAACTGCAATAGTTTTCTTGAATGAATAACTATAATTAATCTGAACCTTGAAAATAAAATAAAAAAAACTTTGTCTTTTTATGAGTGTTATTTGCAATAGTGAAATAATGTAAAAACAATTTGGATAATAACTTGTAACGATTTCTTACTCTTATATCATCATCAGCAAACTCGACCAACCCTTTTTGAACAGCTTCTTTAAATTTTTCTGCAAAACGACGGGTATTTTCTAAGCCAGGTAATATCTCTTGCAAGTATGATTCACATCTCACAAAATCTGATTTATACGAACAATTATGATGTCCTGAAAAAAGTCAGAGAAAATTGTAATGTTGCCCAATTCTTGTTCAAAATAAAGTAGTAAATATCATAAATTAATGAAATCAAATCTTGTAAGTAATGGTATGTATGTGTATCAGTGATGTATATTTAGTGTATCAGTGATGTATATTTAACAAATACATGCACTTGCACTGACGAGAAAACAACTGATTGTCAAATAACTAGTGTTTTATTGCCTTGTTAAATATTCATTATATGACAAATTTCAATATTGAAAATATAAAAAAGTGATTTCTTTTGGCAACAGAATTGATTTTATGATTTATCTATATTAAAGTATATTTATATGAATGACATGTTTAATGAACCATTGCTTTAAAGACTCATTATGCCTCTTAAATGCTATCATTTTTATTTCTCAAATCCATTTTATAACTCGTATCATGTTAAAATTTCCACCTATCTTTTGACTCGTTTTCTCTTTATAAATTGGTATATGTATAATGATTTAGTTATGTGTATGGAGTATTAAATACTACTTTGTATAGGCCTACGTTCTGCTATGACACATAATTAGTTCATGTTCAGCGCTACTTTTTTCAGTTGTTTAACATCTAACATGCTCTAACTCAATAACTAAAACAGTATTAAACACCTGTGTGACTTTACTTAAGAATTGAAAAAATATTGATTTATGAGATATAATGGGCCTTTAACCTGTTAATTTTGTTCATGTACTACCTTTATTTAACAATTTCTTGTATTTACAAGTACAATGTATATAGCAAACTTTAGATCTTTTTGATACCTATATCGCTTGCCAATGTAAACTTCGCACTGTAGTAGTGAACCACTGCTTTTTACATCTCACATTACCTTTCTTAGTTTGTGCAAAATTGTTTACTAGTTAAAGCTAAGTTTAACACATTTTTCTTGTATTTTTATATCGCAACCACAATGCTAGCCGAAACTTTGTTTTAAGACATTTCCATTTTCTAGTCTGATGTAGAAGATGTCATTGATATTCTTAAATAAGGGACTGTATTTGTTTGCATCAAACATGCAAGTAGAGAATCCTCGTACAAAACTGATGAAATCCTTATGATAATCACGTACGATTGTCTCTAAAAACTCCAAGGAAGTGTTGGTTTAATGAAGTTTAGAGAAATAGACCCAAAACATTCCTGCTAGACATTGATATGTGCATTTTATATTTCTGTTAATAACATAGAATAAAAAAATGAAGAAACAACTGAATTGCCACACATGATAAGTTATATTGTATTCAAAATTACTTTTGAATAATTCTTCTTGACACATCAAAACATCTATTTTGGCGTATAGCTAATGCAACATATTTCAATGAATTAGTTTTTTTTATTCTGACCATTGTTGAAGGCCATCGTAACGAAGTTTAATGACTCCCATTTAATTATAATTCCCAGTCTATATCATTTTAATAATAGTTATATGTTTTGTATAATAAATTGATGAAATTATGGTTCAATATTACACAGGAGATGGAGACGTCAATATATGCCCAAGTCAATATTTATATTAAAGGAAGCAGTGGACGAGTGGTAAAAATGTCTTTCTCTCAATCTAGGGATCATGCAGGGTTCAGGTCATACTGGGGTCATGACAGTGCTTCTTTAAATTTCGCCAGTGTAGGTTTGTTTCAGATAAAGGACTTTAGAGTGGTTCATATAAGCTCTAAGTTGTCATAAAATAAATGCACGTTTGAACTATTATCAGTATTTAATGATGAATGGGCATGGTTCCTCTGGAAATCTGACCAGGGTCAAATAAGGTTGAGGCACATTGTGTCTTTACTTTATTTTCTGTCACGTGTAATTATTTTTCAATAGGAGTCAATATCATGCCCGGCAAACTTGCGCCCCAATTCAAGATTGAAGTGTATTGGAAAGACAGCGAACGGCATTTCCGAGATTTTCTGAGAGCGTTTGGCCCCTTTAAACGGCTAACTGTATTTTATTAAACCGAGCAACAAAGTTCCGTGAAGGAATGTTTGGGGCTTCCAATGACCTAAACTGTTGCGAAAAGAAAATTTAACTAAACCACGTCATAAACAAGAGCACAACATAGGCGTAGCAATATACGCCCGAATGCAAATTTGTTTGTAAATAAAATTTAAAGTAATCAAAAATAATTTTCAAGCAGAGAGGTTACCAATTTATAACATTTGTCCAAAACATGTCTTATTTCAATTATCAATATTAAGATCTAAATTGATACATGCCAAAAAGCTATGCTTTTGTCACATTAATACTTAGTGACAACTATATATGCCGTGGAATACAGACCCCAGACATGTCACCAGTCATGCCATTAAAAAGCTAAATTTGAAAGACAGGGTGGTGATTATTATCTCCATGCAATTGTCACGGAGTATATATACTGACAAAACAACAATAATGTTGGTTTTTAAATGATAAAAATTCAAAGAAACAAATTATTAATATCATACCAGAAATTCAAAAGATCAAAATATTATGAAAAAAAAATGCTATATATGTTTACAAATAATGTTCTTCTTTATTATCTCTCTTTACATTGAAACATCAATACTCACACACACATCAACACAAAACTGACAATTCTACTTCTACAAAGTGATGCTATAAATCTATGCTCTGCATGTTGCATGTTGGAGGAAAAGACTTTTTAACATGCAAACTATATAAATCTGTGTCCATGTAAACTGTGCCAGGCCTACCCATACCCCTGACTCACTGGGTATAGCCATTTTTTAATATCAGTGAAATTATTTTATGGAACAATTGCAGGGCTCTTCTATGAAATGATACATGCCAAATAACTTAGATCTGGGATTTGTAACTTTATATGAAAATATAAAAATACATATATGAAAATAAGATTTTCTATCTATGTGACCCTTGGGGCAGGGCCAATATTGACCCAAGGAGCATGATTTGTATAAATATATTTCATATAGGGATGCTTCGTGCAAAATGTCTAAGCTTTAACATAAAATTGTATTTTAGGCATATGTATCCTTTTTACTTTATTTGATTTAAAGCTTTTAAAATTCAGCAATTAAAAATGCAGTGGTAGACATGGGCTCTACTTATTATATTGGTATTTCTTCCTATAAACATATATTTTGTTTTAGTAAGTTATAATAAGACAGGTAAAGCCATTTTACATTATTCAGCCTTTCAACCCATATCAGTCTTTCCATTAGAGATAAACTGCCCGCTATATAAAGCAAAACAGTATTCATGCCAAAAGTTTTGATAAATTACCTTAAAAATTGACATTTTATATGCCTCATTTACAATTTTTTGTATTTAGTGAATTTACATATCTTAAGTAACATCAGCTCCTATTATTAATTATTAAATATAATTGAATCATATAAACTGATAAAATCTTCTCAATTATTATAATCTTAACAGGAAAAAATAAAAAATATAACAAATGAATTAAGTATATTAATACTTATAGCTGCATAATCATATAATCATTTACTTAGAATATTAACAAAATTAATACGTAGAGACTTACCACCGAACTGTGCCCTCAGATTAACTAAACTGTAAAATTTAATATAGACATAAGTTTAATCAAACAAACAAATGGCATATACAATACAGTTTCGCCTTATTCTTGGATGTTCTAACTATTATTTCGACAACTTTCATCTAAATGGAAGCCCATCTAAATGGAAGCGAACGTGCACAATTTGAACGTACACGCTTAATTATCTCTTCACCCTTGTGCAATTCATGTTAACGTTGTTCTTTAAAGATCCTGTATGTTTTGTGATTGATATTGTTACTGTCTGTATACCACACTTGCAAAAAATATGTATGTACATGTATATAATTATGCAAGTAAAACAATTTTCAAACATCGAAGAATATGTAAAATGTGTACTGCAAATATTTAAGCACATTATATTTAATCAATAAATTATATGCATTCATTTCTTATTGGAAAATTTGACTTAGAATTTATAGAAAATAAATTTCTAATTATCTCCCTTTATTTACATGAAATATTAAAATCGGTAATATCTTTATAAATAATGCTTATTGGAACTTACAATATTGACAAATCTTAATTTGAGCATCATATTTATGAAATAAAACCATGAAAAAAATGTGTTACAGGATCTTTAAGTAAATATAATGTGATTACAAAGAGCTCGCGCTGTAATAGATACAGATGACATTTCTTGTGAAATCGTGTTGTTGTAGCTTGTAACAACAGAATTGTTTTATAGTTATTTTGAAGGTTTTCGCAAAGTTTGTATAATTTCTATGCCAAATGTCAAATAATCAAGGGACCTTTAAACAAATCACATATTCGTAAACTTCAACATTTCTTATATTTTAATTGTAAAAATCAGAAAGATATAATCATGCCCAAACTATTTTTACAGTTCAAACAAATATGCATGTACTCAATTCCCAGAGCACTATCCTACGTCACTGTCTCAATTTAATAAGTAGCTCTTTCTCTACATAGTCACCAGTAAGGAGTCTGTGCCCTCTAAGCCATGTTTTGTAGGTTTCAATAAACCAGTCCTCTTTGTTTCAGTTTTAGTTTTTATTAAACCAAGGCATATAATATGCAACTGGTTATAACAACAAACAAACAGAAAAATAACAGTCAAAAATCACCAATATCACATTATAAGAGTACAATTATGACTAGTTAAATAAACAAAAGAGGAGATCATATTGTTCATTTCAAGTACTGAATTCAATACAACATGTATTTTACATTGTAACAAATGGGAACGGAGAATGAAAAGTTTTAGTTATCTAAATATTAACATAATGTTTTTACAAAATAAAGATAATTTTAGAAGAATCTTTTTACCACAACTATTCATTAATGTGTCAAGTTTAAAAATATTGGGATGAATGTAAAACCTGGGAAGAAGAGATTTACGTCTTATGTCATTAAAGTACGAACATTCAAATAAGTAGACTAAGTGAAATTCATCACCAATAGCTTAATCAATACGGACATAAGGAACAGAGCCTATTATTATGATTAATTGCCAAATGTCTGTCTTTTTTATTTGGTAATAGGTGATTCATTGTTCTAAATTTACATAAATATTTGCCTATGTCAAAAGGAAGTACATCTAGATATTTTTCAAAACAATGAGTGTTTTTATATGTACGATACACTAAACACTTTGAGGATGTATCAATAGTACTATGCCAAGCTTGTAAAAAATGATCTTGTAGTCTAAGCTTCACAATATTTTTAAAGTGATAAATATTATCTACCTTCTGTAAATGAAATATTCTGACATGCAAAGATTACTAAGTGTTTCCTTCACAAAATTTATCCATTTAGAATTAACAATATTCGTAGAGAACAAAGACAACATTGTTTTATAAAGAAGTTTACATATCTTATTTTCCTTAGCATTAATAATCTTACTCCAGAAACACAAAACTCTTGCTTTCACTTGTAAGGCTAATTGGAATATGCCTTACTCACCATAAACCATACAATTAGGTGTAGAAGCTTTTAAATGCAAAATAAATTTACAAAAATACAACTGAAATTTCTCTAGAATTTGAACTTGTTCGAATCCCCAAACTTCACTTCCATAAAGAAGGATAGGTACAACCATAGAGTTAAATAAATGTAGTTGCAAAGAAATTGGTAAACATAATTTACGTGACATTTGGATCACAAAAAACATTGCTCTCCTAGCATTATCAACAAGAATTTTTTTTATTTCAAAAATTTACCATTATAATTAAAAAGTACTCCAAGGTAAGTAAAGTTATCTACTAAATCAAGCTTTTTACCATTGTACATAAAATCAAAGTCATCCTTAGGTTTTGACTTACTAAAAACCACTACTTTGGTCTTAGCTTCATTTACAACAAATTCCATATACTGCAGTACTCACTCTTAGCATTTAAGGCATTTTGCAAATCAGTTTTGCTTTCTGCTAAAAGTCCTGTATCATCAGCATATAACAAAAGAAACAATTTAACATAAACATCAATGACATCGTAACTAAGACATTCACGAGTTGCGTTAGAGATATTTACAAGTCCTGTATATTTATTAGATACAAATTCTGACAAATAGCTCAATAAGATAGAAAACAAAATTGGTGAAAGATATTCACCTTGACGTACACCGGTAAAACTACTAAAGAAACTAGTCAACTCACAGTTTACTTTAACACAAGATTTAGCCTTACTGTACATATTGTGGATTATACCAAGACACTTACCATCAATATTATGTGACAAAAGTTTGTACCATAAATGAAATCGATTAACAGAATCAAATGCCTTCATATAGTCAACAAATACACAGTGAATCTTTTTATTACAACTTAAATAATAATCAATTAACATTTTCAAGGAAAACATATGATCAGTGGTACCATATTGTGATCTGAACCCAGCTTGTTCTTCGTTAAGTAAATTGTGGCATTCCAAATACTCATTCAGTTTATTATTTAGTATATTGGTAAATAATTTGCCAAAACAACATAATATGGCAATCCCTCTATAATTGTTGGGATCAGATTTGTCACTCTTATTTTTATATATAGGATAAATAATACCCTGACTCAAAATATTAAGAAAAATACCTGAATCCAAAATAACATTAAACATTAAACAAATTATATTTAAAACAGATTCATTATTTACATTTTTATATATATTCATTTAATATATCATCAAACACGGAAGGACTTTTATTGTTTTTTAATTGTTTACATCTTTATCCCATATGGGTTTTTTAACAGTAGCACCACTGTCATGAATCTCAGTGACACATGAACTATTTTGTATGAAACATAAAATAGAATCAAACTTAATACAAAAAGAAATGCTATTATGGATATCCGATAAAATGGGGTCAAAATCGCAAATTTCAAAATCAACAATATTTGGAACAAGAGCCATGTCAACATGGCCATCCCCCGCCGAATGTGTTTGCTCATTGGAAGAATGGATATGTAGTGGAGCAGAATAATTCCATTTTAAGAGGTCTTTTGGTAATGAAAACTGATGGCTATAGTGATTACAGATTTGAAACCTATGTGAATACTGATGGCTGAAAATAACAAAGGGCAATAACTGAAAAATAATGCAGGGTAGGTTATCATTCTTGTGTGCTGCATCCCTCCTCAGTAAAATCTATCCACCTATGAAGTTTCAAGTTGATACCTCAAATACTTTTTGAGAAAAAAATTGAATTGAAAAATTAAGTATAAAAAATAACAAAGGGCAATAACTCAAAAAATAAAAAGGGAGAGTTATCATTATTGTGCACTGCACACCTCCTGAGTTAGATCTATGCACATATGAAGTTTCATAATGATATCTCAAAGGCCTTTTGAGTTATGCTCTGGACAAAAATTAATTTTGAAAAATAAAAAAGGCAATAACTAAACAATTATGCAGGGTAAAGTTATCGTTCTTGTGCACTGCACTCTTCCTCAATGAGATCCATCCACCTATGAAGTTTCAAGTTGATACCTCAAATACTTTTTGAGATAAGCTCCTGAAAAAGAACAAAGGGCAATAACTCAAAAATTGTACAGGGAAGAGTTATCATTCTTTTGCACAGCATTCCTCCTCAATAAAATCTACCCACCTATGACATTTCATGTTGACATCTCAAACACTTTTGAGTTATGCTCCACTCGGGTGAAAAATTATGTATGAAAAATAACAAAGGGCAATAACTCAAAAATTATAAAAGGTAGAGTAATCATTCTTGTGCACTGCACACCTCCTGAGTGAGATTTATGCACCTATGAAGTTTCATTTTGATATCTCAAAGGCTTTTTGAGTTATGCTCTGGACAAAAATTAATTTTGAAAAATAACAAAGGGCAATAACTCAAAAATAATGCAGGGTAGAGTTATCATTTTTAAGCACTGCACTCCTCCTCAATGAGATCCATCCACCTTTGAAGGCAATAACTAAACAATTATGCAGGGTAGAGTTATCGTTCTTGTGCACTGCACTCTTCCTCAATGAGATCCATCCACCTTCAAGTTGATACCTCAAATACTTTTTGAGATAAGCTATGAAAAAGAACAAAGGGCAATAACTCAAAAATAATGCAGGGTAGAGTTATCATTTTTAAGCACTGCACTCCTCCTTAATGAGATCCATCCACCTTTGAAGTTTCAAGTTGATACCTCAAATACTTTTTGAGATAAGCTCTGGACAAAATAGCATGAAAAAGAACAAAGGGCAATAACTCAAAAATTGTATAGGGAGGAGTTATCATTCTTGCGCACAACATTCCTCCTCAATAAGATCTATCCACCTATGACATTTCACGTTGATATCTCAAACACTTTTTGAGTTATGCTCCACTCAGGTGAAAAATTAAGTATGAAAAATAACAAAGGGCAATAACTCAAAAATTATGAAAGGTAGAGTTATCATTATTGTGCACTGCACACCTCCTGAGTAAGATCTATGCATCTATGAAGTTTCATGTTGATATCTCATAGGCTTTTGGAGTTATGCTCTGGACAGAAATCAATTTTGAAAAATTACAAAGGGCAATAACTCAA